TTTATTTATTTATTTATTTATTTATTTATTTATTTATTTATTTATTTATTTATTTATTTATTTTTGTCAATTGCTTACAAGATAATAGGTATAAGTAAAAACATAGTTATGAATACATGGATACATATAAGAAAAATAAAAAAATAAAAGAAACAATAGGACAAGGACAGTAGGCACGTTGGTGCACTTATGCACTCCCCCTACAGACCTCTTAGGAAAGGGGTGAGGTCAATAGTAGTCAGTCTAAGGTTAAAGTTTTTGAGGTTTGGAGAAGAAACCACAGAATCAGGTAGAGTATTCCAGACATTGACCACTCTGTTGCTGAAGTCGTATTTCCTGCAATCAAGTTTGGTGCGGTTAACCTTGAGTTTGTATCTATTGTTTGCTCTTGTACTGTTATGGTTGAAGCTGAAGTATTCATTGACAGGTAAGTAATTGCAATGTATGATTTTATATACCATACTTAGATCAGACTGAAGACGGCATAATTCAAGGTTTTCTAGGTCTAGAATTTCAAGTCTGGTGGCATAAGGTATTCTACAACGAGTAGAGGAGTAGAGAACTCTTCTTGTGAAATATTTCTGGACTTTCTCAACTGTGTTAATATCAGATACGTAATGTGGGTTCCAGACTGATAAGCTGTATTCGAGTATTGGTCTAGCAAATGTTTTGTATGCTCTAGTTAGTAGTGTGATATTACCAGAGAAAAAGCTACATAAGATTAGGTTAACAATTCTTAACGCCTTTTTTGCTATGTAGTTACAGTGGGCTCTAGCACTTAGATCATTAGAGATGAGTATTCCAAGGTCCTTTACAGAGTTTGGATCATCAACAAGGTCTTGACCATTCAGCCTGTATTTTTTTACCAATATGTAGGACAGAGCATTTATTGTTGAGATTTGAAGTTGCCATTTGTTTGACCATTCTGATACATAGTCAAGGTCTTTTTGAAGGGTAGCAGTATTGTCTGTGGTGTTGAATAGGTTTACATCATCAGCGAAGAGAATGCAGTTGCTCTTGATATGATCACAGAGGTCATTTATGTAGAGTATGAAAAGAGTTGGTCCTAGAACACTGCCTTGGGGGGACACCACTGTTGACAGGTACAGAATTTGATAGGACGCTCCCAATTTTGACCATTTGTTGTCTGTTTGACAGGAATGCTTCTATCCAGTTATGCAGGTGTCCAGAGATACCATAAGATTTTAGTTTTAGGAGTAGTTTGTCATGTACCACTGAATCAAAGGCTTTACATAAGTCTATGTAGATTGCGTCTATTGCTTTGCCCTGATAGAGTTGTGTAGTCCATATGTTTTTGCAGTATAAGAGTTGCAGATTACATTATAGTTTTTTCCTGAAACCAAATTGTTTATTAGAGAGTAGGTTGTTTGTATAAGAGTTGCAGATTACATGATAGTTTTTTTCCTGAAACCAAATTGTTTATTAGAGAGTAGGTTGTTTGTTTCTAAGTGGAGGATGATGGATTGGTTAATAATTGATTCCATGACTTTACAGGTGACGCAGCATAAAGAGATTGGTCTGTAATTTTCAACTAGGCTGGGGTCTCCCTTTTTGAAGATGGGGATGACTGTGGCTTGTGACCATAGTTTTGGCAAGGATATGGTGCTGAAAGATTTTTTCAAAGATTATGCTTAAAGGTTCGGCTATGGCAGTGGATAGCTTTTTTAAGAAGTAGGCACATAGATAGAGATGGTTTTAGATTGCGTAGTGCTTTTTCAACATTGTCTTCTGTAAAATTGATATGTATTAGATCATTGTAGTTGTCTGTGGTTCGACTAGGAAATACTGGGCATGATCCATTGCTGTTTACAAATACTGAGCCAAAGAATGTGTTAAAGATGTTGGCTTTAATGGTGTCATCATTGCAGTCTTTACCATTAGGTCCTATCAGGAGTGGGATGGACCTTGAGTCTTTTAGTTTGTTGTTTACAAAATTGTAGAAAGAGCGGGTGGAATTGGTGCATAGAAGGTTTTCTTCTTGTTTAATGTGATAATTGATGCATTCAGTTGATTTTTTTTTATTATATATTTCAGGAAAAAAATGTTACAGCTTATGAAGTCTATCTGTGAGAGTTGTACCAGTACTCGAGACATTTCTGTTATTTTTCCAGGAAATCAGGATAGCCCTAGGCTTCATTGATTTCAAATATTTGGAATTCTTTCTCTCTCTCTCCCTACCCCCTTCTCCCTTTCTCTGTCTTATTTTAAAAGATTTCTTGCTGTGCAAGTGTTCCTGAGGACTTGGTATACTGTTAATCCCTGCTTATCTGGGTGTTGGCTGCTGGAACAGGATGTGCTCTGGACTTTTTGATACTTCTTTGCTTTTTTTATACCTCTTTTGGTTTGTAAATATCGTTTATTTCTAAGAGTCTCTTAATGGCCAATTTGTCTGAATTTCAAGCTTCAAAGATTTCTCATTTTCTCATTTAACATTTTTGGATTTGGATTTTTTCTAGGATACTTACAATTTCTCAAATGAAATTTTGATTGATTCTATCCATGTGTGGTATGATTAAAAAGTTTTCATCATATCTTCTAATTTCTAGTTAATCTTCATTGGTGAGCTCTACTAATCTTCTGTCCTAAATAGTGGCTGGTATGTAGATGACAAATTCAACATAGTAAAAAAGGAATGAGTAGAGTAGAGTAGATCAGAACAGAACAGAATAGAATTCTTTATTGTCCAAGTGTGACACACACTTTGATGACATTTTTGATCTTAGGAGTCCTTTTTAAGTCTTGAGTTATTATAGAGCCTAGAAACTTGAAGGTCTCTACTGTTAACACTGTGTTGTCTAGTATTGCAGGAGGTGGAAATATAGGAGGTTTTCTCCTAAAATCTATTGTCATTTATACAGTTTTGAGTGTGTTCAGTTCAAGATTGTTCCTGATATACCACAAGGCTAGTTGTTCAACCTCCCATCTGTATTCAGATTTGTTGTTGTCTCGAATGTGACCAATCACTGTTGTGTCATCTGCAAACTTCAGTACTTTAACAGAGGGATCCTTTGAGATCATTGGTATAGAGAGAGAAGAGAAGAGGAGAGATCATACAGCCCTGGGGGTGGGGGGTGCTAATTGTACAGGTATGTGATATGATTTTGCTAGCTTCAACTGCTGCTTTCTGTCTGTTAGAAACCGTATGATTCACTTATAAGTGTCGTCAGGCATGGCTGGGATAATAGTAGAGAAGACTTATTAAACAATCAACTTCAAAAGAATAAAATTTGTAAGGAAACAAGAAAACAACAATACACTACTGTTCTTGGATATCAGCAGAGGAAACAAGGTCAAATTAGAAATAGAATTCTATCGAAAAACCACCCACACCAACCAAATTCTCCATTATCCATACCAACCAAGTGTTCCACTACTTTCCACAAAAGCAGCTGTAAGAACATTATTCAGATGAGCACAAATGTATTGCAGCAACCCAGAACACATGAAATAAGAAACAGACCACCTATCCAATAACTTTCAACAAGATGGATACTCACTCAATTTTATCAAAAGTACCTGACCATTCAACCCGCACAACCAACACAAGCTATGTAAAAGATAACACTACCATACATTAAAAACATCTCAGAAACAATTACGGCATTACTGTAGCTCACAAACCATTAAAGGTAAAAGCTGTATAAGCTAAAAGACTATGTAGAAAAAGACAGGCAGAAGGCTAGCAGAGAATATAAACAGTGACACTAACTAGCAATCCGAACACAAAATGAAAGTTTTTAATCTCACAACACACAAACAGATTCAACCACAGCCCATCAATATTGCTAGGCATCTCATAGTTACAATACTGATGATGTCACCTAATTGAGTAACAAATAATCTACAAGCAAACAACCAAGCTCAGAGAGCAACCAAGGATTCCATAGTTCAACCCTAAGCTAATATATTTTCTTCTATTAGATAGAATGTTGCCTCTCTTGCAATTTTACTTAGTTTTTTTTTTTTTACATTATTGGAAAACTCCTGGAAATTGCTACAGAAATAAGTTAGAAAAATAATGCAAAAAAGTTACTTGTTTTTGTTTTTCTTTCTTTTTAGGTATTACAACTGTGCTTACTATGACAACTATCAACACTCATCTCAGAGAGACTTTGCCTAAGATTCCATATGTCAAAGCCATTGATATGTATCTTATGGGCTGCTTTGTGTTTGTCTTCTTGGCCTTACTTGAATATGCCTTTGTCAACTATATCTTCTTTGGAAAGGGCCCTCAAAGGCAGAAGAAACTTGCTGAAAAGACAGCCAAAGCAAACAATGATCGTTCTAAGTTTGAAAGCAATCGGGTAGGGTTTTTCATATCTTCTACAAATTTGTCTTATTTTCAGTTTCAAAGGATAGTTCCAATCAACGGAATTAAGTATTATTACCTTGCCTATTGGATTGTATATTAGATTATACAGGATATATTAGATTAGCCATCAGCATCACTTTATATTCATTACAGTTTATCAATATAAAATATATAGCATATATCAGAATGCAGTAAGCACAAAAATTCCTAAAACACTGTACAAATTTGGCAAATTTCAAAATCACAAGAGTGAAAAACAATCACAGGAATTTGTCTTTCCATCATTGATCTTAGTGTAGTTTTCCTTCCTTCCTTCCTTCCTTCCTTCCTTCCTTCCTTCCTTCCTTCCTTCCTTCCTTCCTTCCTTCCTTCCTTCCTTCCTTCCTTCCTTCCAACTTTAAGCAACTCTGGGTTGATCACAGAATAAAAAGAAATAATATGTGATCATGATAGAGAATTTAAGATTTTTCCCTTAAGCTCTGTGTTTCCTGAAGTAATTTAAACTACTTTTATCAAAAAGAAGAAAAATATGTCAGAGAGACTAGTCATACTTGTCTTACTTTACTTAGCACAGCAGAATAATGAACAGTAAAATTTCTTGATATTTTGTTTTTGCAATTGCATTTATAAGTACTATTATAATAACATTAACAGGAAAGGACAGCTCTAAAAGTAGGAATATTTAATATGCATTTTCATAGTTGACATTAATGAAAACAAAACCTTACATATACTATTAAAAATTAATATTTCTCCAATTAAAACATATATTTGAATATAGTACTAAAATTATACTTATTGCATAATTTGCATTATTTAAAAAATATTTATAATGTATACATTAATATATACAAAAATGATTATATTAGGAGATCTGCAACATGATTTTTCTTGGACTTAAAAGGTACAATTTAATGCAGAGAAAAATGAGGTTTTTTAAAAAAGTGAGAGCATATATGAAATTAAAAGTTTTACATAATACTAATTTTAATTGATTCAGTAATGGTAACTATGTACCTACATTCATTTATTTACTAAATTGGTAAAAAAAGATGTAAAGAATTTGAATATAAGAAAATGGGAAATTGGAACACACTTACATCCAAAGCGTATGCAGTAAAAAAAACAACACATATGTTTTGTATACAAATGAGCTTTATAATTTCCAGAGTTACAAATTTTCTAATTTAAGATTGGAAATGCACTTGTGCATATGCACACATACGATCACTTATTTGCACGCCATATACAATGTACTACTAAAATTCTCATGTCTGTTTGTAACTTTCAATTAGGCAAAATTGGAAGCTATAGGGCAATAATTACTGAATCAAATGGGCTAACTTATAGAATGTGGAAATGATATTTGGGAAAGTTGTAGCCAGTCAAGCATCACCAAGCCTTGTGGCTATACTTCCCAGAAACACATAGTTTGTGTGATACAAGGGAAGATGGGACAGCCCTTCCTCATTATCTTTCCTGCCTCTCTATGGTCCCTACACCACAAGGACCCAACAGGTAAGTGAAGATTGGCTGCTTTGGAACCAAGGCTAAAATTTGAAATCTCTTAATCACATTGGGTGGTGAGGGAAGGACAACGGAGGATCTGGGATGCCTGTTGGTGAAATAGGTTTGGCTGGAGGCAGTGATGGTTGACAGATGAGCCTTCTTTCACCCTGTAGAGAGGAGGCCCTTTGGAATATGCCAGAATAAAGAATGGAAGAGAGGTTATTCTCACAGACCACACAATTCCCATAGTAAAGTGGGAGGATGTCTAATATTTATATAAAACTTGCTCTCTCTTTCCTAGTGTCTCATTGTAGACGATGTGTTTCGTGATGACAAACAAAAAATCTGGCTGGCCAGTCAAGTTATTTAGCTGGTTGTTTTCCTGCTATTAATGGTAGAAAGAAATAAAAAAAATCCATTTTCTGGCAATCCTCTGCTAAGATGAACATTATGTGAAGCTCTTTCTTGTCCTAAGGATCACACCTTTTGTGGCTGTTTGCCCCTTGTGACTGACCACTTACGATCTCAAGAGCTAACTCCAAGCCTAGGAATTGTTGTATTGTATAAAGAGATAAGTTTAAATAGGAAATAAATACTTAGGCAATTTAAAGAAGTATTTAAATTAATAGTAAAACTCTGTGCATTATTCTAACTGATTTCTAGTAAATGTTGATTATCCAGAGCAGTTGAAAGAAAGTTGAGGCAAATGTAGAATTATACTGTATTATTTTAAGGGCATTTTATTCTCACTTTAATTTTGGAAAAAGTAATCCTGCCATATTTTGAGATAATTATAATTCATGTGAAGTCTAGGTTCTTCCTCAGTATAGGACTTGATTTCAGTGAAGAAAATGGTACTGTATTCAACTTATTTTTTAACATAAGAAACATATTCCAGCGTAAGATGTTAAAGACACATCTAATTTCAGAGTTTGTCTCTAATTTGAATGATTTGGGACTAGATTCATAATTTGGAACTACAGTAGATTGTTAGATCTCTAACATCTTCATAATTTTATGTAATTTTTGATCCCCCAGGTTCTTTAAGAGCTCTGAAATACAAATCATTTCAAATTACTGTTGTGGGATGTATTTGTCAACCAAGATAAATCACTAGATCAAGACTGGCAAATAATATGACTGACCTCAGGGACTCAGCCCATGATAAGCCTTTGGTCCATTGGTGTATGTGTGTGTGTGTGTGTGCATTAATAGCTATTAGTCTTGAAAGCCCTATGCTATTTCAGGACCTGCTAAGAAGCAAATGAGAAGGAGCTGTCTTGTAGCTACTTGGTCATTGTGGAAGATTGATCATTGGACTTATATCCAACAGGATTCATTTTATATTTTACTGTTAACATTTTCCCCTTTTCTATTGTCTTCTAATTGTTTTGGGTCTACGTGTGTTTCAAGGAAAGTAGCCACATTGGTAAAAGAGAAGACACATGAAACAGATCGTGCAAGTTGAATTGACAAGAAAGAAATATGAAAACTAAAACTGGGAATGTGTTTAAATACTTCTTTGTTCATTAGTTGTGGAGAGATGTCTTGGCTTACCCTAACAAAAATTAGTTTCCTTTGGTTAATTAAAATAGGAGGCTGTTTATGTTTGAGATTGGAGGCACTTTTTTATTTTTCCCTTTTCCCTACATTCCATTTTTAATGTGATGTCTTTTTCATTTCTGTAGGTCATTTTCAACTGTTTATTAATATTTCTCGGGATTCAGGTAGCCTAAACATTCATCTAAAAAAATTAGAGATGGCAATCATATTAAAAAACAAGAAATAGAAATTGGCAAACCTGATATATACACTAAGTTTAGTGAAATCCTAATAAAAATTGCTGCTTTAAAACTATCAATTTATGTAGTTTTAATAATGCATTAGAAAAAGGTCAATTTTTTTAATATTAACAAAACTGTAGTAGCAATATTTTTAGCTCTTGATAGTGTATTAAATATAGTTTATCAGATAGTTTGCAAATGCATATCAGTAGCACTTTCCTGTTATTTATAATGCTTATTTTTCATTTGTAATGAATGTTAAAAACTAATAACACTTATTAAATACTAAACAATGTTAATTAAACTTAGTCTTCTGAGTTTAAAAAAAACTAATGGGGAGTGCTAGAATTTACAGGTAGGGATATTTCTAAAGATATATCAAGTTAACTTTTGTCTTTTGTATTGTACATCTTTGCTTGCATTTTCTATTACTCTAAAGAGATTTTTTACTATTAAGTGTTTGAGGGTAAAGTGAATTATGTAAAAATGTTTGAGTTAAAAATCTACCAAACACTGGCAAAATCAGAAATAAAACATGATTAGATTACATTGTTTGAGACCAAACTTCCAAATTACATAATGAAAAAGGTAGAAAAGAGTAAATGTAGTAAAGAGTACTGCAATGGACTGTAGTTTATAAAACCCTGTTTTGGCAGCAGTCTGAATGAAAAATACAAGAATTAATATCAACAAAATTTGGGAAATGTAGGGCACCTGTACAGTGGAAAGAAATGTGCTCTTCAGTAGGTTATTGAAAAAAATATGAATATAAGAAAAACACATTCATATAATAAAACAGAATGGAATCAAAGCTTTTTTGGGAGTATGGAGATGGTAACTTGCTGAGTAAGAGTAAGACTTGTGGTAAGAATACAAGAATATTGAAGAACACTTACAAGAATTGCGTCTGTCTAGTCTAGAGAAAAGATGGATGGAGAAGGCAGCTGATATTGTGGCGAGGTAGTGAGGACGAGCGGCAGCTCCGTAAAGTCCCACCAATTTCATCAGTTCATGGGCTCTACAGGGGCCAAAAGTCACCTGTAGGGATGATGAGGGTAGAGCGAATACTTCGATGGTCACAAAGAGAGCACCATCTCCTCAACTGACCTGAAGAAAACCCCTTCAACTGGCAGGAGAGAAGACAGACATTATGGGTGAACCGAAGCCATGAAAGACAGCTGAACTGGAAGAGAAGAAAGGAAAGATCCTGTAACAGTGTGCTTGGTCTGGGTAAGAATTCTTCTAACTTTTGCCATGGAATTTTCCCTAAAGTACCCCCTTTGGAAAGTGGAACTCAACGGAGGTAAATAGCAGTGACTAAAGACCTGGAGCTGCTGTCAGATTTGGAAAAGAAAGAAAAGAAATCGTAGTCAGAAGTAATTTTAAAAATAAAGAACAGACTGGATTGGTTAGCTTTGCAAAAATTAAATTGTTTCAAAATTCTGGATTATACTCTTACTACCACCTTGACTTGAAGAACTTTGGGAAATTACTGGAAAATATTTTTATTTGGAGACATTTTATTTGCAGTAAAAGTGGAGAAAAAAGGTAAAAGTAAGACCTGCTGGCCGAGGAAAGCAATATAGAGCTGGAAAAAGTGGATGAAGCTAAACTTTTGACTAGGGTAGATTGGCTGGAATACACTAAACACCTGCAACTGATTATACTTGGTGCTTGGAGACAGACTGTGAAAACATTC